AAAACTAATAAGAAAAAGTAAAAATACAATCAAAATTAAAACGGTAGTAATGATGATAATAATAATGATAATTAACTGAATCTAATGGAAAATAAATCAACATAAATAATAATAATACTGGAACTGATCCCAAAAGTAGTTCTTGTTAATATTATGTAGCAAAAATTTTAATAATCTTTATAGCAATGATGTTAGTGAGAATAAGATAGTGAATAATACCAAGCCTTGAAGTAAGCTTAACTACTAAATGGATAAATAAATAATTATTAGCAGAATAAATAGTTAATAAATATACCAGTCTAAACAGAAGTTTACAAAAAAATACAGCACAGTGGTATCACTCAGTAGTATAATGTCAGAGGCTGGAGATCTTGAGTGATTAGTATTGACAGTACAGATTATACCAATTAACTGCATGAACACTTGTAATATCTTTTGATTGTGTAGTTCACTTATGCAGTGATAGATATAAGTACCAAAGTTTTTGTGTTATTGTTATTTAAAATTCTGAATAATTATTATGAATTAAAGGTGCATGTAAATTCTTGAATATAATCATTACAAATATCTGGACCATATTTCAGTGGTATTCATCTTTATTGCATGCATACATTTCACATACACTGCATGTTATGTTATCAAGTATAGACTTAAATTTTTAAAGTTATTCATGCATAAAATGATCAACCACAATAATTGTACCAACATATGTGGTCATTGACAAGTTTAAGAAGTTGCAATTATTACATTACATATCTAATTTGTAACCGTTTTTCCACTGAATTCAGAACAAGATTTGCTTGCCACAGTAAGCTGTACAGTGACACAAATAAGTAAGAGATATTTAAACCGCCATTTGTAGACTAGTCACTGCACAACATCCAAGTTCAGTACTCAGTACCAGGCTCAGGCTGTATACACTGAGTTGCTTCATGAATAAATTTGTTAAATTCACAATATCTGAAGGTTTGGGCTTATATCTAACCGAGAAGCAGGATTTCAGCAAGAGTAAATCTTGACCCAAGCATTAGCATCTGTAAGCCGGATTACCGGTATAGTGAGCAAAGTGGTCCGTAAAATAGAGATGTCGCGGACCATTCGGGTCCGTAAAACAGATTTGTCGCCGACCATGGTCCGTTGGTCCGGTCCGGTCCGTTTTTTAGGGACGACCACTAGAGCAGGGCCGTAGCCAGGAACTTGAAACAGGGGGTTCGGAAATTGCTGCGCGCGAAGCGCGCAGCGAAAATTTTGACTAAAATGGGCGTGGTTGGTAGGCGTGGTCTTGATTTACGCATCTCAGCCATGTGCTGACTCAGCTAAAATGGCTATCTGTGCTTCTCGCTGAGTGCCAAAATGCTAATCCTGCTTTTGCAGTGCTGTTCTTCATGACAGGAGCTAATCTAAAACTTTTTTGCAGCTACAACAGGGGGTTCGTCCGAACCCCCCGAACCCCCCCTGGCTACGGGCCTGTAGAGTGGTTTTGAATTAATGCGCATCAATGTGCATCACTCTTGCTTCACCTCCAGAGGTGGATTGATGTGAAGTGATGTGCTTCGATCAATGTAAACCAATAGCAACAAGAACACAAAATGATACACAATTCAGCTGCTAGTGTGAACACGATCAATGCGCATTATTTCAGCTGCATCAACAAAGCGCATCAAAGCGCTTTGAAAACTGTGCCAGTGTGAAAAGGCCTTAAATGTAAACCATGCCTCTTAATAATGGCGGCTCTGTCTGCTAAATGCATACACTTGTCAAGGCAACTGGTTGAAGTACTGACAGGGTTTACTGTGAGTCTCTTCTTTATTTTATAATTTGTTTATATTTATTATAGCCGGATGAAGAGAATTATCAACGTACTACTGAGTTTGTCCTCTCAAATTTCAAGTATCATCGTTTTCTGAGTGTAAATAGCAACAACACGAAGAGAAAACTTTCAGAGTAAGTGTAATAGAAAGAGCAATATGCATAAAAATTGATGCATAATAATTTATGGATTTTTAATTAAAATTAAATCATTTCTTGAATTAATTAATTAATTTGTTAATTTTGTTAATGATAATTACATGACTACATGTATGTATTATATTCATTATTATATGTTTTTTGTAGTCTGGCCACAAAGTTTAGAGTTCATTCTCTTCCGGAGAGAGCTGAATGGCTTGAGAAATGTGTGGGTGATTTTTTAAAACTCTCACTATTTGAATCTTTCTCAGAGGTAGACTTATAAATTATGATCATCATTAAGTTAAATTATTATTATTATTATTATTAAGTTCTTATTCTCCCTCCCCTATTTATTATGATTCTATTATTCCTTTCTTTTGACTCTTTTCTCCATCTTCTATTAATTCCTTCTCTACATTATTCTCTCCATTGTAGTCTGAGAATCATTATGCCATACTGTCCTTCCTTCTCTGTCTCTCTCAATCCCCAACAAGTCATACTTCATTCACTGTTCCCCAGCCTGATCCTCCTCCTCTTCCTCCGGCTTGAGACGGTCGTCCTTTTGATTGGAAACGCTACCTGATGGAGGGCGTGTCTTTTGAAGAATATG